TTACAATACGTCAACCTTCCTTAATTTCTCGATTATCGTAACTTTATTTATGATACATTCTTATAATTTTTATATTACAGCATAATTAACGGTCATTTATATTACGTTAACAAAGAAGTCTACTTCGGTCAAAAAGACGTGCTTTTATTTCTTTTCTAGTATTTGTAAAATGAGACATTTGAAGAAAAAAATAATCAGTAAAACAGAAACATGCCAAACATTGTACTGCAGCTACATGCAAAATTTTTTTTTTAATTAATGATTCAAAAATGTCATACAACATCCAACATTTCAAAAACAATTAATATAACGAATATTTGAATCTTGTATTATGAACTAAACTAGTTTTTCTCGGTTGGCGAATTCTACCAAGTTCTATCATTCTAAATATACATTTTTTAAAAAGAGAGCAATTTAATATATCGATAATGTTATGCGACAAGGTTGATGGGACGAGGTATACACAGCGAAGATCCAATATTTCGGCGGAGAATTCGGTCATGGTCGCCTCCTCCGATCTACGTCGCTCTGCAAATTCCACTCTCTCGTGCTCCATGAGCGAGTAAAAACGCAGAATGGAAAAAGCCGCGATTATTAGATCCGTGTAGTCCTTCGAGACGAATAGAGAGATATCGATACTTGACATACACAAACGTGAATTTACAAATTTCTTCCAGAAGAAAAAAACCGTAATTATAAAACCGGATTATAAAAATTAAATAATCAACGATAAATGTATATGTTTATTTCAATTAAAATTGAAATTCTTACAACAATAGTCGTTTTAAAAATGTATGATAGCATTTTACTAATTAAGTGACCATTTCCACTCGAGAAAGTTTAAATAATAAGTTAAAATAATAAAATAATAAAAATGTTAAAATAATATTAAAATAATAAAAATGATCATTACTAAATTACAGAATAAAATGCAAATATTATATCTAATATTTATTTTAATATTCAGTTTTAAATAAATTAATAAATTAATAAAGAAAAGAATTTATAGAACATGGCAAAGAAGTTCTTTTAATTTTATTATCCCAACCTGTAAAATGATCTATAAAATAAAATCTATAATATAAAATTTGTACTTTGGATAATTTTTTATCGGCAAAATTAGAGACATTCTGTAACTTTTACATTTATATTATAAATAATAGTAATAAGTATTAACATTGCTTTCTTAAAAGAAAAATTAAATTATTACTAAAACCAAATATTACGATTGAAATTTAACAACATGAAATTATGAGCTTGGGCACTTTGGCTTATAATCGCCATATTGATTTGTGATTTTAAAATCGTATGATTTTTTATTATATATTTTTATTCATATTATGCGCGGTTTATTCGATGTTGTGCGTTGAAGTCAAATTTCAAAATATGGATTCAAATAGAATTGACATTCTTCCAAATTCAAATATTTAAAATCAATACTTTCTTAAACTTATATGGTGAACTATATGGTGATGAACTATAAGAAATTTATAATCTACTTGTCCATTGAAAATTTTAGTTTACATTAATATCTTTTTTTTTCATATTCTTGTAATATAAGAGATATTGTAATAGATAAAGGGCCAACGCATACACTGTTTTGGACATGAACATGGACACGAATATGTATATTTTATAATAATTCAATGTTCCATATTCTTTTTAAAAGAGCAGAAATTAAAGATGTTCTGGTTATACGGTCCCAAAGTTACTTCAATTTGAAATTAATGAAATTCTATGTCAATGGGTGCTTTCCATTTAGTGACATAAGTCGACACAAGTATCGTTCTATCTTTCTTAGTATTCAATATTTAACAAAGACAAAATGATACTTGTATCGACTTGTGTCACTAAATAGAAAGCACCCTTTATAAGTTAAGATATGCACCATACATACTAGTATCGTGTAAAGGACTTAAATAATGGTAATTAATATATGACACTACAGTTGAGTATATTTGTATATTTTGCAATTTTTATAATCGTCGGTAAAAAACTTTTAGACATGAATTTTACCTGTAATCAACTGTAGGAAACGAAAAAAACGTGGCATATTGATAATATTTAATGTATATAAAATATTAAATGATACTTAAAAACACATAAGATATAAGTAAACAAATGTAATTGACATATTTGTCGGAATTTTGCGCTGCTTCATCATTAATCTCAATAACAGATTTAATCAATATTAATGTGAATCAATATTTTTTTTTTTTAGACGTTGCTCAGTATTTTATTATAGAAATATTGCTCAGTATTTTATTTACTTTACAAAGTTTCAGAATATTGCTTTTGTTGTTTTTTTATAATTTCATTGATATAAGAATTATGGAAACATGCTGTTATTCCATGAGAATTTATGCAAAATTAAAAATTCATAAATAATTCATGAACCAGTTAGAGAATCGATCAGGTTTTAGATATGTGTTCAGATAGAAACAATTTATTAAATTTTCAAGATATTGTCAATGTTAGAATATTAACGCCAGTATAGCCTTAATATAATATTATCACTATTAACTTTTTGATACACATAATACACACAACTGTTAAGTGATCTGCGTCATTGTCATTACAGCTGCTCACGAAGCGCAATGAGAGAACACGGAAAAGAATAAATAAGTTTCGAAAGATTCGAATGTCAACTTAATTTGCCTTTTTCAGAAATGGATTTTCTCAAAAATAGTTCAGTACGGTAAATTGGCTTAAAAATTCATATATATAAACAAAATGTATTAATGAGCATATTAACAAAATAGTGATCTTTGAATTTCTAACATACATCTTTAAAAGTCGACAAAAAAGACTCTGTCTCTTAGATAAATTCTCGTTCACCTGTACGGCTAAAATATTAAGAAATTTGCAATGTAATTACGATATTCATAATCGGAATAATCATCTGCAGATTGCTACAGAGCGATTTAAAAAAAAAAAGCAAGAATAAATACTTCGTTTTAATATGTTATTTGCACTATTAGTGCAATAAGGTGCTGATACTTTTGTTGTTTAAATTTTTAAGAGCCAAATTGCGGTTCTTTTTAAGATTCAAAATTCGGCTCTATAATAAATCGGCTTTATAATAAATACGTAAAAAAAAGTCTCGTGGCAAAATATTCTTGTATGAAGTGAAATATGATTACTTATGTATCTGCACTCTAGATAAGAAATAAATAATCATTTATCAGAGTTGAATAAGTTAATATTATTCTTTAACTAATTAAGTTAAAGTTAATGACTGATAAAATTAATTTAAATACGTTAAAAAAATCAACAAAAATTAACTCAGTTAAAACTAAATTAAGTTAAAAGTTAATTTTAAAAGGCATTATTTATATTAAATTAAAATGTTTAATTTTATAATATTTTAAAATATTCTAAAAAACAAAACATTTACGACAGAGATCATTAAATAAATTTTAATAGCTTAAATTAAGTTTGTATGAAATGACAAAAAAATATCGTTGTTTTTTTTATATGAGAATACGTTTTTCCTTTTGCAATTTTTTCGTCTACATAAAAAAAAATTAATTTGGGAAAAAAGTTAACAAGTTAAAATTTATGTATTTTAAATATAAATTAAAGTTATAAATTAATTCATTTAAAATTAATTAAATTAAGTTAAAAGTTAAAAGTTAATTTTTTAACTTTATTAGTTAACTTTTAACTTTATAATTAATTACTAGCAAACCGATAACAATTTAATTATTAATTATTAATTATCTTAAATAACATAATTATTTAAGAATTAAATTGCAAAATCTAGCAATGTTTTGATTGAAGCAGAAATTGAGGCAAGATTCATAGCTTTATAACACATACAAAAAAAAAAATGCATATCAAAATATTACTTCTACGAGATGAAATATCGTTGCACTCAAACAAGTATCTGTGTAGATTATTCATAGATAAGAAATAGATAATCTTATTACAGTTGACTCATCATTCCTGCCGATCCTTAAGAAATAGCAAATTTTTTTGTTTACGAAATCAAGATCGAATTTTTTGGAATTACAAAATACAAAATACAATTCCTTACAATCGTAAAGAACTTTGAAAAGTTTTGGCAAAAATAATTCATATACGTATTGCAAAAATAATTCATACGTATTGCAAAAAGAGAAAGAGAAAGAGAAATAAAAAGAAAAAAAAGAATAAAATTTTGATCTTATCTTACTAGTCAACAGTTTCTCCTCTTAAGCTCTGCGCACAAGGAAGAATATTAGAGAGAGGAATAAATATTAAATTTAAAAAATAAAAATTAGAAATAAAGATTAAACATAACATACATAATACAAGTAAATATAAGATATAGCTCTCTCTTTATATATATATATATACTTATATTTACTTATGTACGTTTAATCCCCATTCCTAATTTTTATTTTCCAAATTGAATATTTATCTCTGTTCCTAATATTTCCCCCGTGGTACGTACGCCTTTAATAACCGCTATTGTCAACATTTGAATAACCCGCCAGAGATACAATTGATACGATCAATCGAGTCGATCGACGAGCCTGAGCGAGATCAGCATTGCGCGCGAAATCCTTTTCCCCGATGTTGTTCCAGCCGTCAGTCGCGACCGTCACAACAGCGGACGGAAAACGGGTAAAATTCATTTCATCGCGAGATCAAAGAGTTCAAGAGCGCTCAGCTGTCACACCATGTGCTCGCTCGTGCCGGCGCTATCGGCAAGGTCGACGAGTAACGGCTCACGAGACGCTGGCGATTTGACAATGGAAATAGGGCAATGGAAATGGCATCGCCACGACAAGACAAGGCGCGAATGCGTCGAAACGTAAACTCTGACGTGGACTCACCCCTGTCAAATTTCTTGCCTTCCGGATCAATGTCCTTCACGTTGAAAATATCCTCGAACAACACGCCCGCCATGTTGAAGATACGACTGCACCGCACTCTGATGTCGGATAGATCAAATGCAACCAGGTACGTATAGATAACTCCAAGATCCACTATCGGTGCTTTCCATTTAGTGACACAAGTCGACGCAAGTGTCATTTTGTCCTTGTTAATCATTGAAAGCCAAGAAAGATAGAACGGTACTTGTATCGACTTGAGTCACTAAATGGAAAGCACCCAATCTCGAACTCTGAACTTGAATTCTACGGCGGTTATTACAGGGATGTATTTGAATTCCCCCAGTGCTCCCATGTGTCATTTTATTCTTGTTTAATGTTCGGTAAGGCAAGAGAAATATATCAGGACATGAAAACAATTACAAAAATCAATTAGATGGATTCGATATTTTCGAAAAAATTTTACAAAGTAAATTTTGATATTTTATATACAGATAATAATAATAATTTGTTTCATTTTCTTTCTAATTAATATTTAATTAATCTATTAATTTATTAATATTCAAAAATTCATATTAATTCATATTAATCTAATATTTTGTCGTTATTAAAGAAATTCAGATTTTTAGTTTCATAGTTCGATATAGCAAATTTCAAATTATAAAAATTTGGAATTGCATATCTTGAATTTCTTGAAAAATTTTTGAAATCATAAATGGTCCTTGCCACTATGTCCCTTCGATACCTCACCGATTTTTCGGATTTTTAATTTTCACAATTTGAAAATATAAAAAATTCGGAAGTAAAATTTCATAAGCTTAGATTTTGGCATTATCATTTTCAAACTTGAAATTGTATAAATTGTTAGTCTTAGAATTTTTCTTAATTTAGTGTATAAGAATGAGATAGAATAAAATAGATGGATAGAAAATATAGATAATAGGTAAATAGAGAATAGATAGAAGAGAAAATATATTTACAACACATAAATATTTCGTACTAATGTTCATTTTATTATATTTTTAAAATTACAAAATATTATTCATCATTAATAATACATAATATATATATTTATATATATAATACATACATGTAAATATACATATAAAAACCTTTCATCAATGAATATCCAATTTCCGCGAAATGAATAAACAATCTTTCATCTGTATTTTACGCGCTATTAACATAATCGTGATATGCAATTCGTGATACCGATATCGATCACGACGATTTCGAAAATAAAAAGCTTACAAATGTCCAGGAATCATCTGCATGAGGAAATAATTCCAAACTGAGACTCGATGCAATTAAAAATACTGAATTACCCGTATGTGGCCTTGATACTCGCGAACACGCCAACAGGAGGAGTCACTAAGTGAACTGTGTCAGTTTTTACGCAGCATTGCTGTGCGAATTTTATATATTTATAAGCGATTGACCAAAATTCAGTACGTCGATGTAAAGACCACGATGTATTGACGCGATATTACGTAAAATTAAAAATTTCATAATCTGGCGCAATATGAAAAATATACTAAAACGCTCACGTAAACATTAATCTCTAGGTACTTCCGACACTCAATATTAAAAAAAAAAAACTATTTCATAATTATTCGAGATATTTTTTTTATCAACAATTATTAATACACTTTTTTAAAAAATGTTAATATACAACATATGATGAACTTGTTGACTATTACTTACATTAAACGTTATGTTAGGGCATGGATATTTCTGTTGAGTCAAATTACGATTTAATAACTCTTGTCATATCTCTTGGTAGAAATAAAATCAAATATCGACTATTTCTGCTCGTGGAGAACTTAGTTTCCGGTCAGTTCTTCACATGATTAAATTCGCGACAGAATTATAAATTCATTATTTACACAATAGAACGCAAATATTTTGCATTTTATTTACAATTTTAGAAATTGTATAGCCTAAGATGTTTAAATAAATAAAATTATATTATTATATAATTCAATTATATCTTTCCTTCATTTACTTTGTCAACTTTTTAAAAATCAGATAATTTCTAGACAGAATTTAATAAGAAATCATTTATTTATATATATAATTTAATCATTTATTTAACATTAAGGAACAGTACTCTCCTTTCTTCTCTGTATTAAAAAAATTAGGAATTTGTATTATTTTTAATTTTTATTTTAAAAAATAAAAATTTTCTAATCTATATATGTACATACATTACCAAATAATTATACTCTATAAATGTTTTACTCTTGATTATAGTGATTTTTCGCTATCACTTTTTTCATTTTCCTCAACATTTATCTCTATCCCTTCCAATTTTTGTTTGAATTGTTTAATATATTTAAGCAGTCGTTTATCATATTCCATTACCTGTCAAGTATTAAAGCATAATTAATACACACCTATTAAAATATACTCAAATTATAAATAATTCAATGATTAATAATTCAATCGCTAAACTATATGAAAGATTTGACGCAGAAATATAAACAAAATTGACATACTATTTTTGTAACTTTCTTAATGGCTTTCTGCAGATTTTGTTTTGACGTATCATCCTCGATTTGAATGCATAAATTTGTCAAAGATCTAATAAGAATTTCTTGATCTATCTTGCTCTCTGGATTTAAGATCTCTGCCAATATAGCAAAAGCAAGATTGTTATGCGTATAAAATGTTTGTCTGCTAGCCTTTTGGCACCCTCGTCCAGTTAAACTCAATATGAATCTGGATACATGAAAGGCATCAATTTCCCGAAGGGGACTAATGTCCGGTGCGTCACAAAGAACTCGCAATGTCGGAAAGTATGCGTTTTCGAGCATTTCTAGAGCATCAGGTACATGTATTATAAAGGAATCAAAAAAAGCACTTAAACATTGACGAAGATAAACGTCGTCATTATTGACCGGATTGTAGCACATAATTATTAGGCGCGATATCAGACTACTACTATTGATCCGTTGATTGAGTAACAATTTGCAAAATCCTTCCCCTGTGATAGTACGCAAATCCTGATTCTGCAAATTATCATATATAATTAGACAGATAAATAGACATCTTATTCAATTTTAATATTCAATTTAAAAATTGTTATTTACCTTATTGTTTAATAAGTCTGTTAAGATTTTAATGAGATTACAAGAGCCTTCCTCCATTTCATCTCGTTTATCAAGAGAAGTATCACTATCATTATGTGTGTAAAGTGAACGAGTTTTTTCAGATCTATTTTGCACAGAATTCTCTTCCGGAGATTGCAAAATATCAAAATATCTTAACCCATACATGAGTAAGAGATCAAATATTACCTTCAAGGAAGTTATCCATATCTCTTGATCGTCTTGTTCAAGAGAAAATTGATAAAAAAATATCATTATGTGTTTCTTGGCCAATTCTTTATCCAAGATGCAATAGACACCTAATGTCTTTAGTGCTAATACATGTACGCTATCATCAGGATGCTGAAATTATAAATTAGATTAAACTATGATGAGTGTTTTATTCTTTTATAATAAACTACCATATTAAAAGTTCTTGTTATATATAATGTTATATAATGAAATAAGTGCACACTTACATCAAGGCTACTTAAAACAAAATCCAATAAACCTCTAAGTACAGGCGTTAACGTGCGAATAGATTGCATCGCGACGCATAAGATATTAAGGCATTTCATCATAGTTGTGGTATCAGTCTTCTCTTCCCTCATATTATCCTCGATTCTTACAGCTTCGGGTACTTTAAATAAACGATTTATCTCCTCTTTCAAAACATTGATCCTTTCTTTAAGATTATCAGCTTGTAAAAACTTTTGTTCCTTGATCGCTTCATATAACTCCTCTTCGAGCTCTAACACTTCAACTTTTAATCTTGTTTTCTAGAATTAAATTTGAAAAAAAGAAAAGAATTTATAAATACATAATATTGATTCAACATTATATTGCATTTTAATAGGCATACTTTCATGTTGTTCTCATGCTGCTGCTCTGCAGTAATTTGCTGAGTATCTGTGATTTTTTCCAAAGGTAGCCTAATCTCGCTGATAACATTAGCAATAGCATTTAGCATATTGTTGGCATCTGGTATCACTTTCGTTAAATGATTCACTGTACACTCAATTATTTTAGCAGAATAATGATCACTTATTAAACTGTCTATTATCACATTGTTCAGATTTTTTCTGCCTACCTCGTCTGAGAGGTCATACATTGTAGATATTTCAAAAAGTTGTAGTAAAATAAAGTTATGATTCTCTTTTTCCCATGTCTCATATAATTGAGAAGATATTAAAGTGATGAAATCATATATATATTTACAAAATTCCGACAATTCTGGAATTATTAATTCTAACCCTTCGATATAAGAAAGACGCTGAAGATGTTGTATTACACACTTCCAATAAAAACATTTTCATTTGTTAAACTTGTCAGTGGGATCAATTTTGTATTTTTATCTATTGGCACTTGCTCCAATAAATTTTTTAAATCAGCATTTCTATATAAAAATAATATTTAATAAGATTTTATTTTATCAGAACTTTGTTTTCTTAAAAAAACTTACTTGAATAGTACTTCTAAAGCTGAAGTTGCAGTTTCTGTGTCCATTCCAATATCCAGTGCATGAATCAGATTTATAAACTCTCCCTTGAAATATCTCAGCCATGTTGGTAACAAAACATTATTTATGCATGTTCTGACAATCTCAGATCTATCTTTAAGACCATCCTTCAACAAACGTTCTCTTTGTTTAATAGTCAAGGAACGCACTGTGATTTTACTGATAAATTCATACGCTGCTTTGCGCACCAAATCATCAATGTCTCGTGTTCTCATCAAGGCAGCTTGTAAGGTTTTCTGATTTTTACCCATAGTAGCAAGAACCGCTTTACGAACTGTAGCACTTGGATCTTTGGATATATGAAAGAGATACATTTTTATTACAGGGCATTGTTCGTCCGATGGATCCTGTAATCTATACAAGGCATAAACAGCTTGTGCTCTGACTTTAGGAGACTTGTCCAATAATCGATCCATCATATTAACTGTAATTCGGTCACACAATTTGTCGTCGATGAAAGCATTGTCACCCATAGAGTTTAAAAGCATGTTCAGAAAGTGACATATACGAAATCGTACTCCTTTATCCTTGGCATTGTGCTTTGATAAAAGAAAATCGAATAATTTGCCAAGAAATGGAGAGATTGGTTCTGTAGTTTCATTTTCACTTTCTAAAGATGAATAAAATGTCATACAGAATTTTGCACAAAACTCTAATGTGTTTAAAACAAATGGATGTTGCTGCGGCGTTGAAAGAAGAACCTTTAGGTGCCAAATAAAATGTTCCCAGAATGTATTCAAGTCCGTCTAAAAAATAAATAAATTATAAATCATTTATTTTAACAAAATAGTTAGTTATATCAAATATATACAAAAATATTCTAAATCATTACATAGCGACTTGAAATGTCAAAAAAAAAAAAAACTTTGAATCGTATTAAAAGCATTATACATCTCAGGAAACTATGACTGTTTCTTAACAAAAATATCAAATCAAGCTCTTCCAAAAGTGGTGCTCTTCCAAAATCATCTTAGACTCACCCTCTCGTATAATTTTGTCAGCTTCTTCGTGTACTCCGGATGGGCAGTTTTATTAAACTGCACTTTCCTAAATATACCTTTCATATTATCTTTGATTGCCGGAGCCATATTTATCTTTTTAAGTATAAAAAAAACTCGAGGAAAAGCTTCCAAGCGTCAGACACTCTACGATGTTCCACAAGCGTCAGACATACGTTACTTTTCAAACAAGCGGCAACGCGATTGCACCACCATCTACGGGCGACCAATTAATACTCAAATTAATCGATGAATGATAAAAACCATCGATTAAATTGATCGCCATCTTTTATACTTTACTCAAGTTGTCTCACAATTTCATTCAGTCGTTAAAGTAGGAATCGCTCCAAATTTGTTCACACACATGCATATATATATATATATATATATATATATATACACACACACACACATAATATACATATATACACATGTATACTTTCTTAAAGTGAATAAAATTATGAGGAATATCACGATATTTAAATAGACATCTACATTTTAAATTTGCAATAAAATATATAAAATTATATATTACTTTGACAGATTTATAACAAAATTTATGACTTATGCAAAATATATAGGATTATAAATAAATGCTTCAGGCAAATCGAGAACCGAGATTTAAACATCATATTATAATCTACATCATAGGTTTTTTTTTTACACATTTACAAGTCGCAAAAAGATTCTTGAGAATGCTTCTGCCTGTAAATTTGAACAATTCGTTAATATCATTATTTTCTACTTATTTGAATATACTTCTTCTCTATTAATAACAATAATAATAATAATAATTACATGATAAAAGTAATAATACGATAATAACTGCGAGCTCATCGCGCCATTGTTTCTACGATAATTGCAAAATTAGTGCGACACATTCTTACTTATTCAACGATTGCAAAAAACGATGAGAAAAGATAAGGAAAATGGGAGGCTGCATTATTAATTATGTATTTTTTATTTAACATCAAAAGTAATGACACTTGGGTTGTATCAGGTTGCGATGTAATCCACGTGTGTGTTTGTGTACATTGTGTGTGTACATGTGTATGTGTGTAAAAAAAAATAAAACTTATCGAATAATTAATTAATTGCGAAAAGGGGGATCGTCAATCAGAAGATAGCTGGTGGAGCGGTGTAATAAAGTGTCTTTTCCGAGCACCTCTCTATATAACCGGTGTCTCTCTCTACACGCGGTGTATAGCGTGTATATAGTATAGTGTAGCACGCGGCATTTTAATCGCAAGAAAAAAAAAGAGACAAAAGAATATCGGTGAACCCACGACGGAAAAACGTTCCCCTCGCTAACAACGAGATCGCCTTTCGCGGTCTGGGCCACCATCGTTCGCGCGCGCGATATCTGTTTATTCGTCTTCAATTATTTAAAATATGTACAATATTAATAAAACGTTGTCCGCCTTCTTTCTTCCCTTTTTCTTCTCTTTTTTTTTAAGGTTTTTTTTAATCTCTCAATGATTCCGACGCGATATGCGGCGGGCTGTGCAGGCGCGCGGCGTCAAAGTCCAACGGCGATTTTTCCAACAAACGCGAAAAATTCCCGAGTTTTCCCGGAAAAACGGAAATTTCGATTTCTTGTGGATTGGATGAGTGGGAGGTGTATGTGTTAAGTATGTATACATGTATTTTGTTCGCGGAGAGAATCACGATGCTCCTGCTTCCTCGAGAACGAAGGAGCTTACACAGAAAGCATTTACGTGCCGCTTTATTTTTCTTTTTCGGAAACGCGTGAAAAAGAAGAGAGAAACAAATGCGATAATCGCGTTTACGATACAAAAAAATAAGTCTTAAATCAATACAAATATTCTCACATATAAGCAAGAATATATTATTAATCTTAAAAAATTTTAATCTTAATTTGATTAAATTTATACTGATGCAAGTATCATTTTTGTGCTCGATTCAAGACTAAAAATCTTCTACATAATGCTTATAATATTCTTGCTTATATATGAGAATATCTATACTTGCATCCATACAAATGTAATCAAACCAAGACTAAAATTTTTCTAAAATTATAATATTCTTTCTTATATGTATGTGAGAACATATAGTCTTGATTTAAGACTAATTTCTTTTTCAGAATGGAGACCGAAAGATTCTCTTTGGCTCCCTCCCCCCTTCTCTCTCTCTCTCTCTTTCTCTCTAAATCACGCACGCAAATATACGAAAGCTCAACATCATCCTGCACTCCATGAATAAGCTTGGATAAGCATGTAAAGCGCGGCGTCATCCTGCTCAGTCCACCGCAAAAGGATCGTCTGGTCTTAGACCGAAACTTTCTCCCCGCCTGGCGTGCGTTTGTCTTTCAACCTCTCTTTTTTTCCCCCTCCTCTTCCGCCTTTATCATCGCGCCTTTTCCACTCTGTCCTTCATCCCATTCATTTTTTGTTCGCTTATACGTACTTTGTTTTTTTTTTCTTCAACAACACGATCTAAACTAAACCATACATAATAATTACATCTAATAATACCTTATTGTAACATGTATTATCATTATTTATCATTATTATTATTTATTTATTATTACTATTATATTATTAATAATAATTAAATTATATTAGCCTAAAGTAATAGAGACTGCGCACGACGGCAAAGCTTTTTTTTTGGGCTCCTACAGCCCCCCGGGCACGGAACACCCTGTCGACAACGTTGCGGATGTTCTCCGTAGCTTCAAAGATATCCATCGCACATGTCCCTTTCTCTTCTCGCATACATACACACAGGTATGCTCCTCTCTTTCGCTCTTCGTTCTTTCTCATTTTCTCTCCATCTTTCTCTTTCATCTCTCTTCATCCTGAACTTACTTTCACGCGCATCTATTCTGGAAAACCGGCGATTCATCGAAAATAACAATCGCGCACGAAACGTCTTAAAATCTCCGCATTTTCGTTGTGACAGAAGCGATCGATCCTCTACGACGGAAAGGTAAACTCGAGCTCTACTCCAAACTCCAAGTTCGGCTATTCGCTGTGCTCTTCTTTGCTTCTTTTTTTCTTTTTTTTTCTTTTTTTTTCGTTTTTTTTCTCTAAATTACAGTTCCATCTATAAAACAGACAGAGGGGGAGAAATATTGATAGATTAATCGGGATCGGCGTCGATCGACCTGGAAACGCCGTGGTTGAATAACGTCCGAATCGATAGACCTCGCGCGATGCATATCATTGATCGATGAGCACGAGATGGATAGTTTTGGAAACGTCGCCAATTCCAGTTCCCGACATACGGACTCGCGCGTCACCCTCTGTTCTCTCGTGAGCCCCACGAACCCCCCTCCCCTCCCTCCCTCCCTCCCCCCCCCCCCCGACTTCGAGAGAGAAACGCTGCTTCGTTATCGCATATTCTCCTGTTGCATATATCACACGACACACGCAGCCTTTCCCTCTATTCGTCGTCTTTTCAGAGCTTTCGGCCGATCGGTCGCACAGCTCGCAGAGCACGGTTCGCGCAAACTCTCACGCGCGTAACAGAGAAAAGTCGTGAGAGGTCGAGGAAACCACGCGTCCCCTGTTTTCGCATTCGCATCCGCATTCGCATTCGCGCGTCCACTCGCAGCGAGATTTCGAGGCGACGGCACCGAATGGAGGGAACCGGCAAAGGAAGAAACGTCTCGCGTTTACGCGCGTATAGGGCACCTCGAGAACACACCTCGATTATTGAACACTTAGGGTAGTTTTGGGGGGGGGGGGGCCTGGGCCGCCGAGCGAGTGTCGCATTTCCGCTCATCGACCTACGTTCACCGATCGCGCACCGATACGCCACCATTTTATCGACGAGAACACAATTTCCTCATTTGATTGATGTATCGTTGACGTATCGTTACGTTGTATACGTAACAATATAACCGGCATCACTTCATTCTCCTTGCAAAGCGATGTGTCACTGTTTGAATGTATCAAGCATGCTTATCACACGATACAGAAAGGAGAGAAATATTATTAATTTGCAAAGAAAATGGAACGATTACCGCGTTCGATTATCGCTACGAACGTCTTTAAAATAATCTTGCTCCACAATTCTTTTAACGATAAACGAGTAGCTGAGAGTAACGTCTTAAAATTTTACTTTTTGCAAAGCAGCATATTTCCTGCTCATCAATCTTTTTGGTTTTTATTATCTAAGACGCATATCTTTTTTTTTTCAAGCACGAATATTCATACATAATTGTACAGAGATATCATCTATCGTTAAGAGAAATTTCAGTTCGTTCAGAGTAGTGTTTCATTCTGCGAAGCTTCTCGCCAACAATAAACAGCGCAATCGACGCGTTCGACGCAAACGCGGGACGATTGAGAAATATCCCCGAGGGAGACGAGGAGGGAGGACATATTCGTGTGTTCGGTTGCGAGATTGCATCGATGAGAAGGAAGTCTCGGATCGTCCCGGCCCGAAAAAAAAGTCGCGTGGCAGGCATTTTAAGTCACGGTTGTGTTGTTCGACACTACACGCATAACGCACATACACGCGCACGCATACCACACACGTAAAACACGGACAGCGCGCTCGCCGGCTGACTGACAGAGATCCCGTAATTCGCTG